ATCAAAAACAATAATTTTTCCAATTATATTCATTCATTTTCTTCCGGCTTAGTCCCTTTATTCATCAGAGGTCGCCACAGCAGAATGAACCACCAACTAATCCAGCGTATGTTTTACACAGTGGATACCCTTCCAGCTGTAACCCAGTGCTGGAAAACACCCGTACACACTCATACACACACACACACACACACACACACACACACACACACACACACACACACACACACACACACACACACACACACACACACACACACACACACACACACGAATTTAGTTCATCAGTTCCCCTACAGCGCATGTACTTGGACTGTGGGGGAAACCGGAGCACCCAGAGGAAACATGCAAACTCCACACAGAAATGCCAACTGACCCAGCTCAGGCTCGAATCAGTGAACTTCTTGCTGTGAGGCCACAGTGCTAACCACTGAGCCACCGTCACGACCTTACAATTTATTATTAAGTTCATATAATAAAATATAACTAGCTGTAAAATCAAAAATTAACCTTCAGTTAAACTATATGAGACTGAAATGTACATGGAAAACATCAAATAAGTTGAACTTTTTTTAACCAGATATTTGTTCCGGTTTTACATGCAAGGGCGCACACACACTATGCTATCCAAACCGTGCCCATGTGCGTTTCCTGGATCGTTTGCGAAGTGTGAGTGCTCTGAGGACTTTATGATTGTTTATAAACGTCAACAGTGGCTGATCTGTTCGGCGAAATATTTGACTGTGTGTCTCTGCATCTCAAACGACTTAAAACTTTTTAACGAAATAAAGAAATCTCCACTGTGCTGAGCGAGAGCGCCTCTTAAATTGAACAGCGCATCATCGATGACGTAAGTGTGCTCAGGCCCGAATGCGATGTGAGTGCGGGTCATTGGGTGAGACGGAAAAGGGGACAAGTGTGCTTCGGCCCGGTTTAGTTAAAGAACAGAAATAATGACTGTTTTCAAACAGGTTTCCGCTATTAACTTCACTTTTAAAGACATTTTTATTTTTTTTTATGACTCAATGTTGACAAATTTGCATTTTCCTTCGGCTTAGTGGCTTATTTATCAGGGGTCACCACAGCGGAATGAACCGCCAACTATTCCAGTATTTGTTTTACACAGCGGATACCCTTCCAGCTGCAACCCAGTATTGAAAAACATCCATACACACACACACACACACACACACACACACACACACACACACTACGGCCAATTTACTTAACCCAGGGTTGTCCAGACTCAGTCCTGGAGGGCCGGTGTCCTGCAAAGTTTAGTTCCAACCCCAATCAGAAACACCTGGGCTGGCTAATCAAGCTCTTACTAGGCTTTCTAGAAACATCCTTGCAGGTGTGTTGAAGCAAGTTTGGACACCCCTGACTCAATCAATTCCCCTATAGCGCATGTGTTTGGACTTGTGGGGGAAACCCACACCAACACAGGGAGAACATGCAAACTCCACACACCAACTGGTCCAGCCGGGACTTGTACTTACTGTGAGGCCACTCTATATGCATTATATACGCAACTCTAATGTAAATGAGCATGTATTTTACATTCAATTCAAATGCATGAATATTCATTAGAGGAGTGTAAGGGCTGACGGCGACCGTCCAATCAGAGCCGCCGCAGTTTTAGAGATCAATCAATTTGTTGTTTTCGTTTTACAAAAGTGAAAAGGCAAATGAAGGTCTGATTGTTGACACACATTAGCGCTGACTCCGCGCCACTTCTATTTACATACAAATACTGAATTATAAATGAAAAGCTGGACCACTCACTGCTAGAAAAACGTGAAATCCTCCCGCAAATATAAACAGATTTTTTTTTTGCATTTGTTCACTACATTTTCTTAAAATGTGACACGTTTCAACACACAATGGTCTTATTTTTTTGTTTTGTTTGTTTGTTTTGAGAAATAATAATAATAATAATAATAATAAAAGAAACCAATACAACGCATTTCTAAACACAAAATAACAACAGCCTACATGTAAAAATATAACTTTTACATACACAGTTTCAAAATAATGGTAAGTTCGCACTTTGTTGCATACAATTTACAAAAGTCCGTGTTTCCCTTCGGTCCCGCGACGTTATCGAAAAAAAGAGTCTCTCTGTCTCTTCCAGACGTCTCTCGATCCGCTCCCTTTATATACTGTATATATTTCTACATTTATATATATCGATTTCTAATAGACTCCCGCTTGAATTGCGTCGATAAATTCGCAAAAAAGTTTTCTTTCTATTATGTTGTTTTTTTTTTTGTTCGTTTTTTCTTCGTGTGTGTGTGTGTGTGTGACAGAGAAACCAGTACAGACAAAGAATAGAGAGATAATAAAAAAAGAGAAAAGCCATTTTACACGTACGACCACACATTT